AAATGCCACAAAAAAGAAAACTACAGGCGTATATCACTGATGAACAGATGCAAAAATCCTCAACAAAATTCTAGCAAACAGAATCCAACAACATATTAAAAAGACTACATCATGATCAAATAGGCTTTATCCCAATGATGCAAGGATTCTTCAATATTCACAAATCAATGTGATACACCATAGTAACAAATTGAAAGATAAGAACCATATGATTATCTCAATAGATGCACAGAAAGTCTTTGACAAAATTCAATACCCATTTATGCTAAAAACTCCAGAAAGCAGACATAGAAGGAACATAACTTAGCATGATAAAAGCCATATATGACAAACTCACAGCAAACATTATCTTCAATAGTAAAAAAACTGAAAGCATTTCCTCTGAAAATCAGGAATAAGAAAAGGGTGCCCACCCTCACCACTACTATTCAACATAATTTTGGAAGTCCTAGCCACAGCATTCAGAGAAGGAAAAGAAATAAAAGGAATCCAGATTGGAAAAGAAGAAGTAAAACTCTTGCTGTTTGCAGATGACATGATCCACTATATAGAAAATCCTAAAGATATCAACCCTAAAGATACCTAAAAATACCAACAGAAAATTACTAGAGCTAATCAATGAATATAGTAAAGTTGCAGGATATAAAATTAACAAACAGAAATCCCTTGCATTCCTATACACTAACAATGAAAAAACAGAAAGAAATTAAGGAAACAATCCCATTCACCATTACAATGGAAAGAATAAAATACCTAGGAATAAATTAGTGTCTGCCTACAATGCGGGAGACCTGGGTTGGATCCCTGGGTCGGGAAGATCCCCCCTGGAGAAGGAAATGGCAACCCACTCCAGTACTCTTGCCTGGAGAATCCCATGGGTGGAGGAGCCTGGTGGGCTACAGTTCATGGGGTCGCAAAGAGTCAGATACGACTGAGCGACTTCACTACTACTACTACTACTACTACTAAAGAAACAAAAGACCTTTATATAGAAAACTATAAAACAGTGATGAAAGAAATAAAAAACACAAATAGATGGAGAAATATACCATGTTCATGGATTGAAAGAATCTGTATAGTGAAAATGAACATACTACCCAAAGCAAGCTATAGATTCAGTGTAATTCCTGTCAAGCTACCAATGGTATTTTTCACAGAACTAGAACAAATAATTTCACAATTTGTATGGAAATACAAAAAAACCTCGAATAGCCAAAGCAGAGAAAGAAGAGTGGAACTGGAGGAATCAACCTGCCTGACTTCAGACTATACTACAAAACTACAGTCATCAAGACAGTATGGTACTGGCACAGAGACAGAAATATAGATCAATGGAACAAAATAGAAAGCCCAGAGATCAATCCATGCACCTTTGGACACCTTATCTTTGATGAAGGAGGCAAAAATATACAATGGAGAAAAGACAGTCTCTTTAACAAGTGGTGCTGGGAAAACTGGTCAACCACCTGTGAAAGAATAACTTTCTAACACCATACACAAAAATAAACTCTAAATGGATTAAAGATCTAAATGTAAGACCAGAAACTATAAAACTCTTATAGGGAAACATAGGCAGAACACTATCTGACACAGAATACTCTGTGATCTTTAAATCACAGCAAGATCATCTATGACCCACCTTCCAGAGGAATAGACATAAAAACAAAAATAAAAAAATGGGACCTAATTAAACTTAAAACTTGTCCACAACTAAGGAAACTATAAGCAAGGTGAAAAGGGGGCCTTCATAATGGGACAAAATAATAGCAAACAAAACAACTGACAAAGAATTAATCTCAAAAATATACAAGCAGCTCATGAAGCTCAATATCAGAAAAATAAACAACCCAATCAAAAAGTGGACCAAAGAACTAAACAGACATTTCTCCAAAGAAGACATACAGAGGGCTAAAATACACATGAAAAGATGCTCAACATCACTTATCAGAGAAATGCAAATCAAAACCACAATGTACCATCTCATGCCAGTCAGAATGGCTGCCATTAAAAAGTCTACAAACAATAAATGCTGAGGAGGTTGTGGAGAAAAGGGAACCCTTTTACACTGTTGGTGGGAATGCAAACTGGTACACCTACTATGGAGAACAGTATGGATATTCCTTAAAAAACTGGAAATAGAACTGCCATATGACCCAGCAATCCCGCTGCACTGCTAGGCATACACAATGAGGAAACCAGAATTGAAAGAGACACATAAACCCCAGTGTTCATTGCAGCACTGTTTACAATAGCTAGAACATGGAAGCAACCTAGATGTCCATTGGCAGACGAATGGATAAGAAAGTTGAGGTACATATACACAATGGGATATTACTCAGCTATAAAAAAAGAATGCATTTGAGTCAGTTCTAATGAGATGGATGAAACTGGAGCCTATTATACAGAGTGAAGTAAGTCAGAAAGAGAAACACCAGTACAGTATATTAATGCATATTTATGGAATTTAGAAAGACAGTAATGACAGTCCTTTATACAAGCCAGTGAAAGATAACACATGTAAAGAACAGACTTTTGGACTATGTGGGAGAAGGTGAGAGTGGGGTGATTTTGAGAGAACAGCAGTGAAGCATGTATATTACCATAGGTAAAAATAGATGACCAATGCAAGTTCGATGCATGAAGCAGGGCACTCAAAACTGGTGCTCTAGGACAACCCAGAGGGATGGGAGGGGGAGGGAGTTCAGAGGAGGGTTCAGGATGAGGGAACACATGTTCACCCATCCCTGATTCATGTCGATGTATGGCAAAAACCACCACAATATTGTAAAGTAATTATCCTCCAACTAAAATAATAATTAAAAAAACCCTAGACAGTGTATTAAAAAGTAAAGATATTACTTTGCTTACAAAGGTCCATATAGTCAAAGCTATGATTTTTCCAGTAGTCATGTACAGATGTGAGAACAGGACAATAAAAAAGGCTGAGCACCGAAGAATTGATGCCTTCAAACTGTGGTGTTGGAGAAGACTCTTGAGAGTCCCTTGCACAACAAGGAGATCAAACCAGTCAATCCTAAAGGAAAATCAACCGTGAATATGCTTTGGAAGGATCGATGCTGAAGCTCCAATAGCGAAGAGCTGACTCACTGGAGAAGACCATGGTGCTGAGAAAGATTGAAGGCAGAAAGAATAGAGGATGACAGAGAATGAGATGGTTGGATGGCCTCCCTGACTCACTGGGCATGAGTTTGACTGGACTCCAGGAGATGGTGAAGGACAGGGAAGCCTGGTGTGCTGAAGACCATGGGGTGGCAGAATCAGACACAACTGAATGTCTGAAGAACAATGGGGAACTGGATCCCACATGCCACAACTAAGAGTTTTCATGCCGCAAGTAAAAGATATCCCCTGTGCCACTAAAAAAAAAAAAAAGATCCTGCATGCTGCAACTAAAAGCATAGCCAAATAAATAAATACTTAAAAAGAACAGTAGGAGGAATAAAAATATGTGTAAACACAATAGACTTGCCTCTCCTTCTCAGTTTTCTAAATTATATTTGATGATTGCAGGAAGAATTATAACAGATTTGGTTTTTACTGTAAAATATAGGAAATACTTAAGGCAATTATAATCAGTGGAAAGTAAAGGGAGGTAAAATTTTTAACTTTCATTTGAACTGGTGCAGCCACTCTGGAAAATAATTTGGTAATTTATTTGGTAATTTAATTTCTGTAAAACCTGAACATCCAGTGACAATACAGCCATCAGTTATATTCCCATTTAATCCTAGAGAAATTAAAACTTCTGTCCATGCAAAAACCTGTACTTCAATGTTCATAGCATCTTTGTCATGATAAAAACTGGAAAAAACCAAGTGACCTACAGTAGGTGAATGGTTAAACCAACTGCGGTACATCCACCCCATGGATACGTCTCAGTATTAGAAAGAAACCAGGAACTTCCCTGCTGGTTCAGTGGTTAAGACTTCTGTGCTTCCACTCCTGAGGGCACAGGTTAGATCATTGGTCAGGGAACTGAGATCCTTCATGGCATGTGGTGGGGCCAAAAGAATTAAAAAAAAATTTTTTTAAGTTTTTAAGAAAAAGAAACCAGTTGTGGATACATGCAGCAGCTTAGATGCATCTCAAGGGCATTATGCTGAGTACAAAAAAATAAATCTCAAAATCTCATACTGTAGGATTCTAAGTGTGTAGCATTCTAAAAATGACAAACTGACAGAGTTGGAAAACAAATTAGCAGTTGCCTGCAGTTAAGGGATGTAGTGGGGGCAGGGAAGAGAAGTGTGTGCGGATAAAAAGGGATGGCAGGAGGGAGATTTTGGTGGTACCACAACAGTTCTCAGTCTGGATTGTGGTGGTGGTGGTGGTTATACAGATCTTCACATACAACAAAAGACCATAGAACTATGCACAACATTGTAAATACCAGTGTCAGTATTCAGATTTAGGTTTGAGCTGTAGTTATGTAAGACTTAATTATTAGGTGGCATTTAGCCAGTGTACACAGGACCTCTTTCAACTATCTTTGCACCTTCCTGTGCATAAATAATTATTTCTCAAAACGAACTTTTCAGTAACATGTATCATTGACAGACACAGTTAAATTTTCTTTCCCTTAGCATAATGCTTTTGTTTAAGATGCCATATTCAAAGGTTGTGTACACAATTCATGATTTCATTTGTGTTGACATGCAGGAAAAGGCAGAACTGTAGGGCAGAAAACATGTCGGTGGTTGCCTAGACCTAGGGATTGGGAACTGACTACAAAGACAACTTAAGGGAATATTTTTGGTGCATGGAATGGTTCTGTCTGTATCTGAGTGGTGGTGATGGTTATACCACTTGGTATTTGTCAAAACTTGAGGAACTGTCAAAGAGTGGGTTTTACCGTCTATAAGCTTTCAGAATCAACAAAGGAAACTATAGTAATCAAGTAAACAGTTTCTGAGAGCTTACCTTTTGATGACTTTGGAAATTTTCCAGAACTTTCTAAGAAATATGTGTTTTATCCCCAACAGGTGATTCTATGAGTGAAGAAGACATGCTTCAGGCAGCTGTGACCATGTCTTTAGAAACTGTTAGAAGTAATCTCAAAACAGAAGGAAAAAAGTAATACCTTTCACAAATCATTTAGATATTCAGTCTTTCCAATATTGTCCTGTGTGATTACAGCATAGGGTCCATTTTGGTAATGTGTCAAAGAGAACAATTTTCGACAGAGGAAAAAAGACTTAGGTGGTTTGCAAACAAAACGATGAGAGGGTGGAAAAATACATCAGTTGTAGGACTCAAAAATGATCCTCCAAACACTAGCCAAAGAGGCATTCAGCAATTAAAGAAATTTAAAATAGTTTTCTAAATGTTCTTTTTTCTTTTTTGAGTGTGCAATATCTAACACATTTAAAATTAGGGCATTTTTCTTGGATCTTTTTGCAGACCAACTAATTATAACTAGCTCTGGCCACAGAACTTTCCCCACACACTTTGTCTTCTTTTCCCCGCTTCTGCATAGGGAATCTGGCTCACTTTTATCAGCTAATGGTTGCTCTTATTTCTCTTTAACCAAATTAACCTTGTAGGACAGTGTCTTCTCTGTGTTGATAATAGTGGCGGTCCCAGGATAAGCTGTTTTCCTTCTGACTATGTATGGTGCACTTGGGTGGTTTCTCATCTTATTTCCTCTGATCACAGTTTCTCTGTGATTTTTCATTATTTTCTACAACTCTGTTGAAAGACGGTAATGTTTCTTGAGGTTTTTAAGCCCTCTGAGAAGGGATCATTATTTCACGACTCCAGTGCATTCCTGTACTCTGAAATCAGCTCTACACAAGTGTTTGAGAGTAAAAAAGAATTCCGTCATGTGTGAGCACATGCATCCCCAGACGCTTTGCGGCTCTCTCCTCAGTTATGTCAGAACTTTACAGTGTGTTGTGACCCTCTTTCCTGCACCCTGTTATTTCCTTTTCTTTTGAAACTGAGAAAAATAGGAGGCGCACAGCGCGCAAGTTTCCTTCTGTTACAAAACACCATACAGTGCCCACCATGAATGTATGATAGATGAAATTTGGCCTTCAATTTTAGTAGCAGTTTCATTTTATGTTTCCTCTTGTGACTGGAGCTGTCCTGTTTACAGTTGAGTTATGAAATGTGGATGTCTGCTTCTGCTGTACATCTTTTAGTAGGTATAGCTTGCCAGAGATAACCATCTAGAACATGAAAATAATTTACCAACAAAGCTGCATTGAAATTTGTACTGTGACTTGACACTTGCATCATGTTTAAATAGCTTCGAATTACAGAAGTCACAGTTCTTAATAGATTTGTAAATAAGAAAGTCTTTAGTTTTGATAAACATTCTTTAATTGGGATGCAGAGTTTCTTGCTGGGTCATTGCAGTGGGATGATTTTGGTGAAAGTTAACCATGTCTCTCTGAAATGGGCCTTTTAGATTCTCCCCTTCCCTCATTCCATCCTCCTCTGAAGCCCTTTTGAATGTTGAATTGTTCATTAGCTAAAATTTAAGAAGAAATTTCAGCTGACAACTTAGAAAATTAAAGTATGATATATTGCCATACCCTGTGTATGGCTACACGCATTTTATCAGGGAATTTTTTGATGTAGGATTTATTGCTAACTGAAAAGAGATGAGAAAATACCTTTTATTTATGATTATGAAATAGCTTTTACTTGGATAGAGACAGACTTTTTTTAAGTCATTATTTTGTGCCAAGTTTTATGAAGTTCCCCTTATATAAAATTAGACAGTTTTATTTTAAAATCTAAAGTTTTCTTTTTTCAGTTGAAAATGTTTCAGAAGAACTATAAACTTTTAAAAATGCGAGGGATGTTGGAGTTTGGTACTACTCCCTAAGATTTACAAACCAAAATATTTTAAGACTGGACATTTCTGTAGTTAACCCAAGTATGCTAGTCATATTTTCCATGGATATTTGACCTGTATCTTTTCTCATTGAAAAAAAAAATACATTAAACTTTTCTTACATTTGAATTGATGAACTACCTGATACAAAAATGAGAAAGCGAATATACATTGAAAAGTTTTAACCTTGAGAATTTATAAAGTTCTTATATTACACACCCTTGCTAAAGCACTTAAAGGAATACAGAATGTTGACCTTCTTTTGTTAGGGTTTTTTTTAAAGCAGGGCTGAGCACACACTGGATATATTTGAATGTGTTTATTTAGTTGTGAAATGTTACATTTGGCAGACAGATTAGAATCACTAGTAAACTGCCATCTTGTGTGGATTGGCATAAATATTATTGAACATTTAGATTCCATTTCTTAATTGATTGGCCAGTATGTTAAGATGCCAATGCTCATAACCACAGTAAGAAAATTTTTAAGTTACACAAAGCTATAGTTTACACATTAAGTAGTACGGTTTACTTTAAACCACCTGCAAGTCAGAAACAATGAAATTCACCACAACTGTCCTGCTAAGAACTTTATTTATAGAAAGATTTCCATTCTGTTTTACCAATTGGGAACACCTTAATGTTTAATATTTAAACTATTGGTATCATTTTTCTAATGTATAATTTGTATTACTGGGATAAAATACGTACCATGGCAATGCTAGTGTTATAAGTGAAGTTTAAACAAGCTTTGGAAATAACACTTTCACACTGATAGATGTCATGGATTTAATAAGTAGTTATATATGTTTCAAAAATTCAGAGTAGTTAACATCTAATCTAAACCATCATTAAACATTTTTACAGTAATTAACATAGGAATATTTCAGTAATGCAAATAGTTTGAAAAGGTTGCTGCAGGTAAACTGTTTCACCTCTAAGATCTTGGCCAAATAATTTGCAATTCACAGAATATTTAAGATGCTTTCTTTCTTTAAAACTTAATTTTTCTTAATTAAGGCTTTATTCATGCCATAGTTAATGAAGAAAAACTCCAAATTAGTTGAGGAGCAAAACTACCCATACTCTACATTGTTTCATTTAATGTTAAGTCAAATAAAGTAAATTTTATGCCATTAAGAGCCTAAGACATTTTCAATGTCTGCATGTTTGATACTGTTTTTAAATAGTATCACACTAGTGCCAAGATTTACTAAATGTCTTAAAATTGGCCCATTTGGAGGTGTGCAAATGCAAAAAAGATTGATTCTCAGTGCACAAGCAAAAATGTAATGATAATAGTTGAAATTGCCTAGATTGAAAAATAAATCTTAATGTTTTAAATTCTTAAGAGGATTCAATCATTAATATTGATGACTTCCTATTAGAAACTTTATCTGCAATTGGAGCCACCTATGGCCACTACTTTCAAAATTAATTGTTGCAGCTGGGCCCTGACAAGTATGGAGATATTACAGATGTGATCTTAATTAAGAAAAATCAGACTGGATTAATTATTTCAGCAGTGTAAGTAATTTTTCATATTTTCAAAATAAAAACTGCTTCATTTCTGGTCCCTTTGTAACCAGCATCTTTTTTTTAAAGAAATGAATGAACTTGTATTGTTTTTTAAATACACAAAATATTTTTGTTTCATTTTGCTTTCATGAATGAAAATATTATTGACATGGTTGTTTAATTCTTGAATTTTGATTTTTGTTCAAGAAAACGTCTGCTCTTTTAATTTTTTTTGCAAAATGGTCTGGCATTTTAAAAAATTAATGCTACTAACCACATCTAAATTATTGCAATTGGCATGTTTAATTATCATAGTGTGTCAATAAATGTTTTAAGACTATGAATTCATAAGACAGGGAGTAGAAAGCATTTGTGAAACATATTTGGAAATTCCTGATTCGTTTAGGAAGCACTTCACTTGTCTCTTGCTTAGTTCAAAAGTGAATATTTTCAGGAATTTTTTAAAGAGGAAAACATACATTTGAATGTGATTATCTAATTTCTACAACACTGGATGAGTAGGAATGCATTTTTAAAAATTACTGTTCTGTGTAAGTAACCTTTGAAATTCCAGTAAAGAATTAAAAACATCCTTCTGGCCACGACACAGGTGCACTGTGGCAGTGCCGTTTGCTCAGGACCCAGCTTTGCAGCCGTCGTGCGTGCTCTTCTCTCTGAGTCGTTTTGCCGTGAATACACACACAGTCCTTCCTGTCTGGTCCTTAGAAAAGCCGGGCTTCCAAAGGACTGTTGAACACTGAGGATACTCTTGTTAATGTGGATGTTTGATGAGTTGTATTTTAAATATCAAAGATTATTAAATAAAGATATTGTTTGCTTTTTTTTACTTCTGTTTGTATTTATTGTTAAGTTCATAGCTTTGCCTTCAAAGTGTGGCTGGAGCATTTACACCACTGAGCGCTTTTCAGAAATGCTAAGTTTCAGGCCACACTCCCACCTACAGAAACAGAACCTGCATTTTTAACAAGATCCCCAGGAGATTGCCACACAGAGTGAATGTGAGAAGCTCTGTTTTATGGGCGTGGTGATAAATGAAGCTGGCTAGGGGAGCCCACTGATAACTCCATTCCAGCTAACTGCTGTCAGAGGGACCATTGTTACTGGATCTTCTAATCTTTTCTGAGAGGCTAAGAATTCCATATTTTTATTTGAAATCTGATTTTTAAATGTTAGCTTGATTTTTTTTTTTCTCCCCACCCTGAGAGCCAAACAACGCACACTAGTAACAGTTTTGAAGAGTGCTGTTTTTCCTCACTGAACTCCGGACACTAGACTCTAACAATTGGCATCCACCTGGTTCAGGGTCAAGGATCCTCAGGTTTTATAATGACGGCTATCCATTTTAACTTTAATTAGGGTTGGGCACAAATCTTGAAACAAAAATTTCCACTTGATGGTGTGCGACCATCTTTTCAGTGTAACTCGATAGCCAGATGACTCTGATCTCATCAACATCACCTATGGGCCCTATGAAACTTACTAGTTGATTTGAAGGCCCATTATATGTCAGCTAAAAGCTTTTGGAAGGTTAGGGATATTTGGGGTTGTCCTTATTCTGAAGATTTGCATATCTTGGGATCCTTTTAACCATTATGTGCCTGCCAAGCTCAATGCTCATCATTTTATAGGTAATTTGAGCCCAGCTGACCTTTTCAGCCTACACTCTTGACAGTTCCCCTTAAGGCACAGTGGAGCTAGCAGGCCTCATTTTAGGTCTTCAAAGAAACCAAATTCTCACCCCCAGGCATCCTAACACTCCCCTTGCTCTTTCACCTTTGCCCTTTTGACATCCTTGTCCCTCAAGGTCATTGGCCACTCTCTGCTATGAGGGTGCTTTCTCTTTCAATTGACCACCACTCTTCACTGGACCTTGTTCTCTCAAGATTGTTCCCGTTCTCCCTGGATCAGAAACCGGCCCCCCCCCAAAAAAAAAAACCCCTTTGTCTCATGAACTATAAGAGAAAAACAATTCTGTATCATTCATTCACTCACTCAAGAAGACCTGAGTGCATTCCTGGCATGATTCTGGGTTCTTGGAACAGAGCCATGAATCAGACACTGCTCCGCTGCTGCTTGCATTCTGATTGGCCCTGAGGCAGAGGAAGCATTTAAATTACTGACCACGACTTCATAACACGCTAAGGGCTATGCTTACTCTGTGAGATGCGAAGACAAAACACGATGATGTGATAGCGTGTGACTGGGATGGAGGGCCTTTTCAGACTGGGTTCAAGGAAGGCCTCTGTAGAGGTGCCTTTCAGACACCAGGAAAACCAGGAGGCAGCCATGCAAAGGTGTGGTGCCTCTATACCTGCCTGAGGAAACCGCAAGCACAGTGACTGAGGTGGGGGTGGCTGCTTGTCTCTGAGGAACACAGAAGGCTGGAGAGACAGGCAGGTAGTGAACAAAAGCTGGAGTGTGTAGCATGTTAAGAGAAGTCTAGAAAGTGTAGCCAGATTGTTTGGTGTAGTAAAATGTAAATACAATCCAAACTTATCTTTGTAAAGTTGTACGTAAGATTTTTGTTATGTACAAAAGCCAGCCCTCCCTCCCGGTCGCACATTATCATATCATCCTGTTTTGTCTTCGTATCTCACAGAGCAAGCATAGCCCTTAGCGTGTTATGAAGTCGTGGTCAGTAATTTAAATGCTTCCTCTGCCTCAGGGCCAATCAGAATGCAAGCAGCAGCGGAGCAGAGTGTCTGATTCTTGGCTCTGTTCCAAGAACCCAGAATCATGCCAGGAATGCACTCAGGTCTTCTTGAGTGAGTAAACGAATGATACAGAATTGTTTTTCTCTTATAGTTCATGAGACAAAGGCTTTATTTTTGGTGGGAGGGGGGACACTCTGACCCAGGGAGAACAGGACCATACTCTAGCTTTTGTACATAACAAAAATCTTATGTACAGCTTTACAAAGTAATTTTGGATTGTATTTACATTTTATTACACCAAGCAGTCTGGCTCCGCTTTCTACACTTCTCTAAAATATTTCAAGCCTCTTTAAAAAAAATTTTTTTTTAAAAGACCATTAACTACATCTTTGACTAAAGAACATTCCATGCCAGTGTCCACCTTGTTGTTATTGCTGTTCATTTGCTAAGTTGTGTCCAACTCTTTGGGACCCCATGGACTGCAAAACGCCAGGCTCCTCTCTCCTTCACTATCTCCTGGGGTTTCTTCAAATTCATGTCCATTGAGTCAGTGATGCTATCTAACCATCTCATCCTCTGCTGCCCCTTTCTTTTGCTTTCAATCTTCCCCAGCATCAGAGTCCTTTCCAATGAGTCAGCTTTTCATGTTGGGTGGCCAAAGTATTGGAGCTTCAGCATCAGTCCGTCAAATGAGGATTGACTGGTTGGATCTCCTTGCAGTCCAAGGGACTCTGAAGAGGCTTCTCTAGCACAATTTGAAAGCATCCATTCTTTGGCACTCAGCCTTCTTTATCCAACTCTCACATCTGTACATGACTACTGGAAAAACCATATTTTTTATTATATGAAACTTTGTAGGCAAAGTGGTGTCTCTGCTTTTTAATACACTGTCTAGGTTTGTCATAGCTTTCCTTCCAAGTGTCCACCTTAAGCAATGAGAGAGTCAGTTCCTAGGCAGATTGATAAGAAGTCTAGGGGTCCCCAAGGAGAGAGAGGTATGGAATATTCAAGGAGGAAGAAAGGACAAACTTTTTTACTTTTTTTCCTCTACATTCCTTAGGATTATATAACAATAATGTATCCTGCCTGAGGACAGTCTCTGGCTAATTCTGTTATCTTAAAACATAAATTATGGGAGTAGGTCTAGTCTTTACAAGGATGTATTCCTGCCTGAGGACAATCTTTGGATTAAACCTTCTAGCCAACTCTTGTTTTCTTAAAAGGTAAATATGGGAGTGGGTCTGGTGAGGTCTTTGCAACGTCCAGACATTCTTTGGATTCATTGGAGAGTATATAGCTCCATTGCTAACACTAGCAAAAGGGGGTACTCTTTTGCCCCCTTCTGATGCCTATGTCAGAAGCTTTCTCTATCTCCTTTATACTTTAATAAAACTTTATTACACAAAAGCTCTGAGCGATCCAGCCTCGTCTCTGGCCCCGGATTGAATTCGTCTCCTCCGGAGGCCAAGAATCCCGCGTCTAAGCGTTCAGCAACAACCTTTCATCAACCCAAAAAACTGAATTTTTAATACTATAAGTATACTATCTCAGATCAGAATTTCTGGCAAGGCTCCCATTTACCACTTGTGCATTTTGTTTTTCTTCACATCTTACATTTATGCAATATTTTTCATCAATATCAGAAACTACATTTCAGTTTAGAAAACTTAGCACCGTATTTTGTTTGTGAATCCACATTGTCAATTGTAGTTATTCATATCTGAGTCATTCCTTTTTGTCTTTCTCAGCCACTTACTTCTAGTCCAGGACACCATCATATCACGTATAACATGTGCCATAACATCATACCTGTTCACCTGGCCTTTGGCCACTCTGATTTGGAGCAAGTCTACCCAAAGCTGCTTAGTTCTGTCACTCCAATTACTTTTAAGTGAGCCTTCATTAATTTCTGTCAACATGTTGTAGGGAATGATGATGTGTAAATATTGGAAAGGATGATGCCTAATTATTTGCTGATACGACTGTATGCCTAGAGAACACAAGGAAATTAACTGAAAAGCTATTGGAAATGATGAAGGATGTCAATAAGTCAACAAAAACCAGTAGCTTACTTGTATACCAGCAATAGCATATTAGAAAACAAGATGCAGAAGTACCAAGCGTAACAATGTCTAATTCTTGGAACATCAGATGAGTCACAGGTTCCAAGCTAAGGTAAGTGGAATGGCCCTTTTTTCAGCTCTCAGCAAATACTGTCACACAGGCTCTGGACAGCTCTGCTGGTGACCAGAGTCCTGCTGAGTCTCTCAGAAAATAGATCAGAGGGATCTGATCCCATGTTGTCACTGTCTCTGTTGCATTCCTGCCCTCTCAAAATAAGATACAGTTTCTCCAAAAGCTGTATTTCTATTCTGCACAGGGAGAGCTCTGTCTCCAACATGGACACCTTCTCAGGGCCAAGGCAGATTTGGCTTTTTTTTTTTTGACCAATCATCTCAAACATCTTCCGGGGCTTCCACTTAAGTACAGAGGATTTCTGTGTGATTCCACATATATGAAGTACTTAGATTGATCAAATCCATTGAGACAGGAAATAGGATGGTGGTTGCCAGGGGCTGGGTGGAGCAATAAGGAATAAGGACTTACTGTTTAATGGGTTTAGAGTTTCAATTTAGGAGGATGAAAAAAGTCCTGGAGATAGATGGTGATGTCTGCCTAACAATGTGCATGAACTTAATGCAACCAAATTGTATACTTTAAGATGGTAAATTTTATGTATATTTCATCACAAACAAAAAATACATAGGATGGACTTCCCTGGTGGTGCAGTGGGTAAGTATCTGCCTGCCGATGCAGGGGACAGAGGCTCAATCCCTGGTCTGGGAAGATTCCCCACGCAGCAGAGCAACAAAGTCCATACACAACTACTGAGCCCACAGGCTGCCCCTACCAAAGCCCGCCCACCTCGAGCCTGTGCTCAGCAGCAAAAGAAGCCAGAGCAATGAGAAGCCCAAGCGCCACAGTGAAGAGCAGCCGCCACTCCCACAACCAGAGAAAGCCCTTGCAAAGCAATGAAGATCCAGTGCAGCCAAAAAATGAAAAAAAATTACATGGCATTGATCACTGTATTTACTTCCTTCCAAAATCCCACCTAAATTAAAGAAAAAACAAAACAAAACCCTCAGGTACAGAGAGACCAGCAGAAGAGATG